CCTGCCCTACCTTAGAGGCAGGTGCCCAGAGGAGAATGTAACTTAGACAAGACATCCCTGAAAGTCCAACAAAGCTAAGAAAGAAACTTGAAGCCAGAAAGGACTTTGTGCAATCAGCTGCTTCTGGCCAGGACCCTGGAGCCAAATCAAAAGGATGATACCCAAGTCGGGCAGCCAGGGAGCAAGGGGCCTTGTCAACGGCCAAGAGATGCACTACGCTGAGGCTACGAGGCTGCTGGAGCCACCGCTGGCCAGGTTCCCGCCTGCAGCATTGCTCGACAACAAGTGGCTTCACCCACTACGCGGCAGCCTCGACGGGCCGTTCCCAGCTGCTCGGCTTTTCTTCCTGCCAAGTGCCTATGCAGTGCCCAGCCCTGGCTGAGGACCAGCGTCTCAGGACCAGGAACAGGATGTCTGTCTTCCAGGAGCATCCTTGGCCCACGTGGGACAGGGTCCCTCCTATCACTCATCGTCTTTTGACGCATGACCTATTCAAAGCCTGATGTAGCGAGAACCCAGCCCGTGGGGCTCCATGAACCCGGAAGAGCAGCTCAGTGTAGCACTCCAGCTCCCCACGCCTCTTTTAGGAGATCCCCCCCGCCCCGCCAGCCTTCATCTGTTGGGGCCGCAGGGCCTGTGTTGCAGCACAGCAGGTTAAGCTGCTGCCTGTGATGCTGGTTTTCTCTATCAGGACACTGGTTCAAGTCCCAGCTGCTCTGCTTCAGATCTAGTTCCCTCCTGATGTGCCTGAGAAGTCAAAAGATGGCCCAAGTACTTAGGCCCCTGCTACCCAGGTGGGAGACCAGGGTGGTGCTCATGGCTCCCACCTGGCCTAGTCCCAGCCATTGTGGCTATTAGGGGGAGTGAACCAGCACATAGAAGACCACTTCCTCTGTCTCTCCCTCTCTAACTCTTTCAAATAAAATAAATAAATCTTAAAGAAAGCGAAAAGGCTGTGTCTGCTAAAATGTGTTTACTAAGTGATTACTGATGTCTTCCATTTCTCACTAATAAGACACACAGCACCACCAGTCAGCATTGGAGACCAAGGGCTCCTGCCCTTCCAAGGCACCCCAGGCCCCAGGAAAAGAAGGGGTGTGGCCTTGAGAGGCTGGGGGCGGGGGGCAGTCTGACAGAGCCATGGGCAGGAAGTCCTGGGTCCCACCCAAGACCTGATGTTGGACCACGGCTACTATCATGTCAGTAGACGGACACCCGCCACAGAGACAGGTCTGTGGTTACAGACTGAAGACTCACATTCTAGTCCCAACTAACACCACGGCCAAGTCACTGAGCCATCACAGAGCTCAGCTTCATCCAAACAAGGGGAAGCAGCACTGCCCAGCTGCCTCTGGGGACCGTCAGAAGGAAAAGCTGAGAGAAGGTAAAGGTATACACCTGCTGTTCACTGCAGGAGCACCCAGGATGACTACCGGTTTCCAGACCCTATTCCAGTCCTATTGTGGACTAGCAACAGTCCCTGCCTCCCACACTGCTGTGACAATTAGATCAGCATAGTCCCAGAGAAGGTCTCAGACAAGGCTGTTGCATTGTGACTACCACCGTTACAGGTGCTGTTACTGGTGACGGCATTGTTGCAATTACTCTTATACCTGGCAAAGGCACCTCTGGGAAAGAAGTCTTCCTAAAGGGCACATCAGCATCACCAGTGCAGGATCAGGAGACTTGGGAACAGAGTCCCCACGCTGCCCCTCACTGATGCAGAACTGAACCCAAAGTGCAGAAAGCAACAGTAAACCCCACCTCCCACCCCTCCTTACCCCCCCCACCACCACCAAGCTCAAGGTTTTCTGTGCAAGAAATGGTCTCTGGAGGGTTCTAAAACAGCTGCCAAGTATCAGGAGCAATGATGCACCCTGAACATCTCACAGGGCTTCCCTGTCCAAGGACCCATGAGGAAAAATAAAATTGCTTGGGCCAGGGCGTGCCTCCCGAAACTTTACTGAAGCTCCTTAGAGGACCCTCTCCCCAAAACTCACTCATTCAGAAAAGCACAAGGCAAGTCTCAGGAAGCAGAGCAAAGCAAAGCAGCTTCTATGTGGGGAAAAGGAGAAAAACCACTCCCAAAGCATAAAGTCGCTCAAGAAATCATGACATAAGGAGGTAGGAAATAGCCCCCCCACACACACTGGCTCCCCACCTTCTAACACCGCTATATACAGCTCTCCCACGGCCTGGGAGGACTTGGTCAAGGCTCTCAGGAATAGGGAACCACAGCTGGCTATGGAATAACCACCAGGGACCTCTCGGATGGTTACCATGGAGGGGCCAGCACGACAGCCTTTAGAGACCCCCACACCACCCCCCACAAAGGACCCCAGCTGGGCTGTGACCAGCCCTTCATGGCACTCGCAGCCTTTCCTCCTACCAAACAGGTGAGGAACCTGCTGCTTAGACCACAGCCGTCTGTCCCCATCCCACCGGCTCAGAAACACTGCTCCAGCGACTCTCCGGTCTCAGTTCATTTCTCCCACTCCTCCAGACCCTTCCCAGCAGAACAACATGTGCCCTACAGTCTCCCACTTAAAAGAGAACTCCCCTCATGCCATGCCTTCCCGTTAGCAGCTGAGGTCTCAGTCCTCTTCACAGCACAGGATCTGCCCATCCCTCCTGATCCATGAGTTCAGCCCACATCTTTCCTTCCAGCTCCTCCAGCGAGGCTCCTGGGCTCTCCCCCTTCCCGGCCCTGCTCACTCTCATCTGCTGGGTTCGCCTCTTCTCCCAACCTTACACACTGCGCTGTCCCAAGGCTGGGGTCATCTCCTCTTTCTTATCCTATCTCACTGGTGATTTCGTCTGATCCCAAGGCCTTGAATAACATCTGTTATACTCTGGTGCATCTCTTCAGCCTTGCTCTCCCCAAAACTTCCGATTCATTCAAGGGTACCTCGGAAAGTTCATGGAAGATGGAATTAAAAGATACGTCTAGATAACAAAAATCTGGAAATCCATGCACAGTTTTTTTTTCCATAATATGCATTTCCCATGAGCTATCCATCTACTAATATATTCACCTCCAGCATCTCAGGGCAAAGCTCTCATGATTCTCCCCACTCAAACCTGCTCCTGCCCCAGCCTTCCCATCTCAAGGATATGAGAGCCATCCCCACAGGCGCTGGAGCCCCTGGGAGTCACCACCACAGCACATTCAATTCATCGGGAAGGTGTGCAGGTATGACTTCGTGACCACTGAATACCACTCTCCATCCAAGTGCTCCCTCTCGAAGGCAGGCCACTAGGAACCCACCTGACTACAGCAACCACCTGCTGACACCCTCCGGCCTCCCGACAGCAGCCCACCTACCACCTCCCCATAGCAGGTGATCTTTCTAAAAATGCAAACCAAATCATGCCACTCCCCTGCTCAAATAAAACCCTCAGTGACTTCTCACTGGGCTTAGCATACGGTTTAGAAACTCCCTACTTGGACTCACAAAGCCTTGTATCATGTACCTGTCTCTCACCTGTGCCCTCTCTCATGTCACTATCTCCCATGGCCTTCCTGCTCCTTGAACTTGACGCTCTTCAGTGCTTTGAGCCCGTGTACTAGCTGCTCCCTCTTCCTGAACTGCAGCGTGCCCTCATCATCCCAGGATGGCTCCTTCATCAAATTCCACCTTAGATGCCACCTGTTCAGCTCCATCCCTGACCTCCCAATCCAGCCCAGGCACCGGGCAGTCCACATCACTTCACCTTCATTTTCTGCACAGTAATCAGCGTTAATATTCCTCTTGTTTATTTGCTGCTCACTTCCCTCCCCAGGCCAGATTACAATCTCCTTGAGGAGTGAGACTAAATCTCACCCATCAGCTTTCCAATCACTGTGCAAGAACCCAAACAGGTGGGAGAGGCTCCGGGCATCTCTTCAGGTACCACACTCCACACTAACCTTGTTTCCAAGCTGCTGACCAGATGAATTCTGACTCGCAGTCCCCTGAAGCACACCCAGCCCTATACTCAGACCAGGACCCAGACCTTTGGCTGGTTCATTCATTCAGCGAACAAACATTTACCAAGCGCCAAGGCGATGCCAGGCACTGGGGCAAGGGATCAAAGGCAGTTTGTGACCTCCCGGAGCTCGCGGGTGAGCTGGCAGAGCGGGAAAGACCGCACCAGTGTTAGAGCCTCCAGGGCGCCCGCACGCGCTGCCCTGATTCTGGTTCTCACAGACCCAGCAGACCCGCGTAGCCTGGGGGGGTGGGGGGTCGAGTAGGGCGCCCCGACTCCGCAGGAGAAGCGTCGGCTGTACCGGCGGGATCCACGAAGGGGATCGGTCCACCGGCTGCTCCTGCCCTCACCCCGCAGGCCGCGCGCAGACCAGAGGCCAGGGGTGCAGGTCAGACTCCCCGCCACCGTCCACGAGAGGCGGCCCGAGAGGAAGGCCTCCCCAACGAGATTCTCACCTTCTCTGCCTCCCCCCCACAACCCCGCACACCCCGAGACCCTCGTTCCACTCCACGCCCCCCCCCCCGCCCATCTCTAGCCCGGCGGGGGAGGCGTGTCCGGCCCTTGCTCTGGCGTCCCAATCCGATCCCCTAGGCGGCCTGGGCCCCTCTACGGTGACGCGCACCCCACCCCGCCCCCGTCCCGGAGCCCGCCACACAACTCCGGCAAACAAAACCCCACAGAGTGCGGCCGCGGCGCGGTGCGCGCCAACTCGCCCGGACCCGCGCGCCGGGAGCGGGAGAGGGAGGGGGCGCCGGCCGGGGCTCAGGCGGGACCCCCACGGCACAGGTGCGCGCGCGGCGCTGGCTCCGACTCACTCACTCGATGAAGTAGCTGGCGCCCTCCTCCGTGAAGCCCTCCTCCCAGCCGCGGGGAAGGTCTGCGGAAACGCGGGGAAAGTCGGTCAAACTTGGGCGGCCGCGCGCGTCCCCCTCAACCCCTCGCCGCCGGCCCGAAGCCCACCTGAGCGGATCATGTGGCCGGAGTTGACGGGCTCCCCGGTGCGCGGGTGCAGCCAGGTCGTGCAGCGGAGTTGGTCACTGCGGGGAGAAAGGTGCACCTGTTAGCGCCGCCGCCGCCGCCGCCGCCCGGCCCGCGCCCCCGCCCGCGCCCATACTCCCGCGCCGCACTTGACGAAGAAGACGCGGCCGTCCCGGCACACGCCGTAAGACCAGTGCTCAGGTAAGGTGTCCCGCCCGACCGTCGCCGCCGCCATGTTCGCCGCGCGCGGAGCCGGGGCCGCCGCGGGGCGGGGGGGAGGGGGCGGGAGCGGCGGCGCGGGCGGGGGCGGGGGCGCGGCCTGCGCGGGGCCCGGCGGCGCGCCGGGGCGCTCCATCGGCGCGCGGGCTCCTCGAGGCTCGTCCGGCTCCTGGCACCCGGAGTCGCCGCCGGAGTCCGCCGCCCGCCGCCCCGAGCGCGATGCGCGCGGCCTTTGTCCCCGCGCCTTCCCCGCCCCCAGCCCGCCAGCCCGGGCGCGCCCCTTGGCCCCTGGGGCCCGCAGACCCGCGCAGGGCGGGGGCAGCTGAGACACACGAACCCGCGGGCCCCCTCGGGCCCCCTCCGCGGACTACTGCCAGACCCGTGGTTCTGTCAAGGATATTGAGGACGAAGCACAGGTTCCTGCCACATTCCCCGCCTCCGCGCGTCCTCTGTAAGATAAAGTTGGAGGTGAAGTCCGCCCGGGATTGCTGCGTGGCGTCAGTGAAGGGACGACGGGGTGAAGCGCTGAAGTGGGCGCTCCGTTGGTGCCAGGGCAAGCCTGCCTGCGCTTCCCAAGTTTGCGGCGGAAGCGGGAAGGCGCGGCGCCCCGCCGCACGCAGCACCGCACCCGAGCTGCAGCGGCTCCAGCTGGCGCCCTCAGTTCCCGTCCAGTAAGGGAGCGACCGGGCTCTGAGGGCTGGGCGGCACCTCGTCTGCCTCTGCGAGGGGGCAGCCAGCTGGGGCGTCCAGTGGGGGCTCTGGAGGGCTCTTCGCAGACTGGCGCCTTCTCACGTTCGGGTCCTCGCTCGCATCCGGGCCCCTCTGCGCGGAGAAAGCCCTCCCCTGCCCTTTAACTCTCTATTCCATCACTTATTTGCACCTGGTTGGCATTCTTGTTTGTGTTCGCAGCCCCACGTAACTGGAAGCTGGGCTCTGGGCAGGTGTCAGGTCCAGCCAGCCTCCAGGACTCAGGCTCTAGTTGGTGGGACGAGGCTTACGGGAAAGCGAAGCTCCGCAGTGTGGCATTCGTTACTCAGAAGGACGCCCAGCACTCTGAAGGATGGATACGCTTTGCCAAGAGAGCCCTTGAGAATGGGAGTCGGGGGAGGGGCGCGGGATTCGGAGGAGACCAGCAGGGGCCCCTGTGCGGAGTGGGTCCCGGGAAGTGGGGACTGTGAGTTATAAGAGGGAGTTGGCTAGCAGTGGAGGCCTCGACGCTGGTCTGAGGGAGCCTTCTGCCTTGAGAAATTCTTCACCAAAAGAAAACAGGCAAGCGATGTTCGTGTTATTAAACACGGATGGGAGCCGGTGTGGATCAGCAGGTGAAGCCCCCAACCTGTGATGCTGGCATCCCACATGAGGGCCCATGCTAGTCCCAGCTGACTCCACTTCTGATCCAGCACCTGCCAATGGCCCAAGTACTTGGGCTCTTGCCACCCCCATGGAAGATCAGGATGAAGCTATGGACTCCTGGTTTCCGCCTAGGCTAGCTCCAGCTGTCGTGGCCATTTGGGAAGTGAACCAGCTGATAGATTCTCTCTCTCCCTCTCTCCTCTCCCTGCCTGTCTTTTCTTCTCTCTCTCTCTTCCTGTAACTCTGCCTTTCAGATAAATAAATTAATTTTAAAACCCACTGATGGAAGATCGTAAGGTAGATGGGCAAAGACATGAACACACAGTTACCAGGTGATGCAAGTGGTTTGCAGGCAAATGTGAACATACTTGACTGCCTCATAATAGAAAAATGCACATTAGAATTAAGATGAAATAGTAGTTTCTTTTTTTAAAGATGTATTTGAAAGATAGAGTTACTGAGAGAGCTAGAGACAGAAAGAGAGAAGCCTTCCATCCGCTGGTTCACTCTCTAACTGGCCACATCAGCCGGAGATGAGCCAATCCAAAGTCAGGAGCCAGGAGCTTCCTCCAGGTCTCCCACATGGGTGCAGAGGCCCAAGGACTTGGGCCATCTCCCATTGCTTTCCCAGGCCATAGCAGAGAGCTGGATCAGAAGAGGAGCAGCTGGGTCTACAACTGGGTCCCCTATGGGATGCCGCCACTTCAGACCAGGCCTTTAACCCGTTGTGCCATAGCACTGGCCTGAAATAGTAGTTTCTTAGGTGTCAGGTTGGCAAAGGTGCACATTGTGGAGAAAAACATTCTCGTTGGCAGGATTATAAAATGATTCAGCCTCTGGAGTCATACTCCCATGCCTTAGGCATATAATAAAATTTGTGCATTCTTGTTTCTGAAAACACACACACACACACACACACACACACACACACAGGTTCAGCCTCTAAAGGCAATCTGGCAGCAGCGATTACAACATAAATGCATAGACCTTTGCCCTAGCAATTCCACTAGCAGGAGCCTACATTAGTGCTCCCACAGGGGCGCAAGACCTGCGTACTAGAGCAGTCATTGTAGCATTGTCAATAATTCCCAAAGTCTGGAAACATCTAAGTGTCCATCCAAAGAACTGGTTAATTAAATTGTGGCACCCCTGAAAGGAATGCTGTGCAGCTGCTCAGAAAGGTGGGCTCAATCTCTGTGTGTTGCTGTGGATGGTCTCCAAGGTATGGGGCCAGCAGGCAAGGTGCAGAACTGTGCTGTGGGGAATATAAATGGTCCTAGGTTAAAGTCGAGAAACAGGTAAAATGATTGCTGTGGAGCAGGAAACTGGCAGTACTGGTGGGAAGTTTACTTTCCCTTGTGCTCCTTTTTGCACTGTTTGATCTTTTTACCATTTAAAACATATGGGAGTAGATGGTTGACACAGCAGTTAAAATGCTGCTTGAGGTTCCTGCATCCCATCTGGGATTTGAGCTCTGGCTCAGTTTCCTAATAATGTGTACCCTGGGCGACAGTGGTGATGGTTGAAATACTTGGGCCTGACACCCATATGGAAGACTCAGATGCAGATCTGGGTTCCTGGTGGCAGTCTGCCCCATCCCCAACTTTGGAAAGTAAGCCAGCAGATTAAATATCTTCCTCTCTCTCTTCCTCCCCACCCCTTCTCCCTCTCCCATCCCCTCTCTCCCTCCTACTCCCCTCTCTTCTTCCAACTCTCTCACTGCTCTTCAAATAAAAATAAATATAAATTAGAAAATGTATATTTATCTATTTTTAATTTTTAAAATTAGTTTCCTCTTTTAAAAAGATTTATTTATTTATTTGAAAGGCAGAGTTACACGGAAAGAGAGAGAGACAAAGAAAAAGATCTTTTGTCTACTGGCTCACTCCCCAAATGGCCACAAAATCCAGGGCTGGGCCAGGTGGAAGCCAGGTACCTGGAACACCACCGGCTCTCCCACATGCGTGCAGGGGCCCTAGCATTTGGGCCATCTTCTGCTTTCCCAGGTACATTAGTAGGGAGTCGGATCAGAAGTGGAGCAGCTAGGACTCAAACTGGCGCTCATATGGGATGCTGGCATCAGAAGCTTAACCCACTGCACACAATTCTGGTCCCAAAACATGCATATTTAAAGAAAAATGCAGTTCAGCAAGAGCTCCAATAAGAGATACAAAAATTATCTCAATAAATGTCAGAAGATGTATTTGATTTTTAAAATGCCCATCATATGTGTTAACAGCTACAATTAAAAGTAGATCAAAGGCTGGTGAGTATGCAGAAAAACTGTATATAATTATTCATTGTTACTAAAATTTACAGCACTCTGTATAGCAGTGTGGCAGTTTCTTTAAAAACGAAACATGCACTTACCATATGACCCAGCAATTGCAGTTAATACATTAGGCATTAACCTCAGAGAAATATAATGTTTATCCTCATACAAGTTTGCACACAATGGTTCACAGCAGGTTTTGCCTATTACAAATAAAATGCCACACAATAAGTAGCTGATTATGATTAAATAACTGTGGTATGTCTATACCATGGACTGCACTTGGCAATGAAAAGGCATGAACATCTGTCAATGTGTTGTACTATGCGAATTAACGGTAAAACTAGTATTCAAACAGTACTTTATACTTTGTGTGTCTGTGTGGGTGCAATCTGTTGAAATCTTTACTTAGTATATACTAAGTTGATTTTCTGTATATAAAGATAATTAAAAATGAGTCTTAATGAAGAATGGGATGGGAGAGGGAGTAGGAGACCAGATGGTTTGCTGGTGGGAGAGAGATTATGGGGGAAAACCACTATAATCCGAAAGTTGCACTTTTGGGCCAGTGCCGCGGCTTACTAGGCTAATCCTCCGCCTTGCGGTGCCAGCACACCAGGTTCTAGTCCCAGTCAGGGCGCCGGATTCTGTCCTGGTTGCCCCTCTTCCAGGCCAGCCCTCTGCTGTGGCCAGGGAGTGCAGTGGAGGATGGCCCAAGTGCTTGGGCCCTGCACCCCATGGGAGACCAGGAGAAGCACCTGGCTCCTGCCATCGGATCAACGTGGTGCGCCGGCCGCAGTGTGCCGGCTGCGGTGGCCATTGGAGGGTAAACCAACGGCAAAAGGAAGACCTTTCTCTCTGTCTCTCACTCTCACTGTCCACTCTGCCTGTCAAAAAATAAAAAAAATAATAAAATAAAAAAGTTGCACTTTTAAAATTTACATTTATTAAATAAAAGTTTTCTTAAAAAAAGAAAAAAGAAAAGGCATGAACACTTGCATACCTTGTGCAACATAAACATGTACAACAACTTGGATGGATCTCAGGGTGTTATGCTGAGTTTTTTTAAAAAGTCAATCTGAAAAGTTCACACATTATATGATGTTGTGACATTCTGAAAATAAACAAGTTCTAGATGGGGAACTGCTTAAATGGTTGCGTGGGTGGGGAGGGGAGACCCACCTGGAAAGGAAAAGCACCAGGTAGTTCTTCCTACTGAAGGAGTAGCTCTCAGCTGCAATCATGGTGACACAATTGACAGTCTTCATAAAATGACATTGTATCAGTGTGAGTTTCCTGGTTTTGATATTGTATTTATTGTATATAAGATATAACCATGGGGGAAATTGGGTGAGAG